ATTTGAAACAATCCACTTATCACCAATTGGTTTTAAGTTGGAAGCTCAAGAAACTTATCATTAGGCAATTAAGTAAAGCGAGCAAAACTTAAACTTTGTTAAAAATGGATGTTAAATAAATGGGCAGAACTTGAGTTGAGTTTTCTTCAAACGGTTTAAGGGGTTTCAACTTTCATGACATGTGAATGTGATAGATTGGATAATAGAATGCGTAAAGACAATCTCATACTCATACCTGTCGAGTTTGTTAACCCACCAAGGGATTTTAATTTGAATCAAATTGAGTTTAATTAGGACCCAAATTCTTTTATATATAAATGAATTTCTGTATCATTGTATTGTAGTACATATATATATACTATGTAAGTATGTAACATGCCGAGTTTGAACCAAGCTTTGAGTCACGTGGGCTTCATGAGAGTAAGGCCATATAACTGCACATGACATGACACAAACATATAACATCTCATGCATATACACACATATAGTGATCAAAATGCATATTCATTACAAAACCGAATTGTAACGATTTTTCTTTTGTCCATCTTGACTTCGAGCAATAAGACAAATCATTTGGATTAGAAACTACAAACTCTACGCGTGGACCCGTTTGATGTTCTTCATATATGCATAAGGGGCCATCTTCGCATGGCATTGCTACTTGCATGAGACATACATAAACATAGCGAAAGAAACGGAACTAAAACTTCATATATATTATAAGCTCTAGTGTGGCATGTGGGTCACGTTAGCGTTTCTCGTGCTTGATGCATCGCTTATGAAACGGGAAGTCATTTAGCGCATAATTTTTTTTATAGACGAGCATTTTTCCAATTTTGTTATATTTTATTACAGTACGCAGAACTTTAATTAGTGTATTGCTTCGTATATACATCTACTTAATATGTGCACGATTAAGAAGATTCACCGCACACTTGTTACTTGACAAACAAAACTCAAATCGCACAAAGATTTGTTTCTTTGGCTTAGATGCACCGGCATGAATTATACTCCAATATAAAGTTGACTGATTAACGCTCATGGAGTTTATCAATGTTCATCCTCTTTTTCCCATATTATTAAACCTTGTTTACTCCTAAATTAATGTCTATTTTCAATTTAATTTTATGATTTGACTTTTTAATTCCAAAGATAATAAATTTAGTCGGCTCTTCCTGCCTTTCGATCTAAGTAATTTAATAACATATGGTGATTTTTTTTTTTTTTTTTGAAACACCATAACATATGGTGCTTAATTCTCAAATTCAAAAGTCAAAACCATGACATAAACTTGCTTCAACTAGTTACAACTGGGCTCTTTGTTTATGTCATTAATGGGCTTTACGGCCCTTGTGAGATACATCTGTTCATATCTAACAGTGTGCCATATGGGTTCCACTTACATGGACTTTAGTGGGCCTTATTAGTATTTTCACTATTTTGAAGCGAGCAAGAGTTGATTAAAGGTTGATGGGATGTTTAATTCGGGATTTTATTAATAATAATTATAAGAAAGATATTGCAGAAGTATTTCGTTTTTTTTTTTGTCGACAACCGTGAAATATTTCATTATTTTATTTAAAGTAGCGGAAAATTTCCCGTATCTATCATTTTCTCATAAGCAGATAACAAGAAATAGCCAAATCTCATCTACGTGATGGAAACAATATAATTAATTAACTAACAAAAAGCTAAGAACACGTAGAAAACAACCAGACGACGCGACATTACTCCCGTTTCCACAATACAACATTTCATTATTTTATGTAACAGAAACAAAAAAGCTAAAAAGATGATTATCATTATAAAAAGGCAAACAATCAGGGTGAATAATATTAACGTGTTAGTGAGTGTCAGCATCAGCTGCATTATATATTTATAAATTATTATGTACGTTGGTTCCTTTTTGACATTGATGGTCCAGTTTTAATGGTTAAACAAAGGAAATTAACTCTAAACTATAAAATATACAACAAGGTCGTCGCGGGGCGAAATGTCGTGAGGCTAATCAAGGTTTCATATGGTGTTGTTTTACTTATCGTCTAGAGGTTTGACAGAATATACGATTAATTAATTGATTTAATTATATTAATCATAGCCGGAGGCCCCCGTATATTCATGTATCAATAGCCTCCCTCGTCCATATATCGTTTTGTTCCTTGAATTCTTCTTAAAGATAATTATTCCCTTTTCCCCTCTTTTCATTACTTAATTTATCTTTACCCAATATAGATATATATATTATAGCTTATTCATTTTCTTGGAACTCCATAACATATTCATATTTATATCCATCTATGCCTAGTTTGAGTGATATTAAATCCAGTTCATATATATATATATATATATATAAACTTGTTATTATATTTGTAATATACCCGTATTTATTTTTATGATATGGAGTTTTGGTAGGTACATGAGGATTGCTTTAATAAAACGAAAAAGGTATATGGCTAAGCTAAGTATAGGATACAAGTACATGGCTTTGACACGTCTTGCTATCCAGTGATGCAAGTGCTTACATACATAAGCTTCATCACTATCTCTAGAATCTCCTATTTTTCCTCCCTAGATTACGAATAATTAATTTATTTAGGTTTATCATAATTTGGATTTAATTGATGTATTAATTAGAGGTGATAATTCCTTAAGTTTTGTCGTTTTTCTGTTAGTAGAGAATGTTTGGAACATACAAAATGATATGTCTTTCAGAGACTAGTTTTCCATTATTCTTTGAGAACAGACTTCTGTTCTATTGTCCTTAAGTGTATGTATGTACAAAAATGAGATAAACACAAACATTCTTTCCTGTTCATTATTATATATTTACGTATAGTAGTAATCAGTCAACACAGCTGAATGAACCATATATAAATATATGTCATTTTCCAGAAGAAATTATAAAGAAATATTTTTCTGTGTTTTATGAAAAGTGTCTTTTTGTTACATAAAATGTCATTTTAAATTTTTATTGTAATTATACATATTTTACTAGTTACAAAATAACTTCATCTTATAAGTATTTTTTATTTTTAATATTATTAGTTAAATAAATGTAATTAAGAATAATATTAATATATTTCAATCATTTTTTAACATATGTGAAAAATGTAAAAATAGTGACTTTTGGAATAGTAAAATGTTGTGGACTGTTAGATATTGTTTGGTTAACGGGTTGTCACATCATCACGACCGTTTCCTTGTGTGTTAGTGCATGTATGTACATAATATCTTTAATTTAAAAATGTGTTTAATATATATATAAATATATGTATATCAGTAAATATATATATATATATATGCATATTGAATAATTAATATTCTACGACATAATTAATTACTAATTTTAACAATAATAGATATATAATTTACAATATTTTTAAGGGATCATATTATACAATACATGCATATAAATAAATTAAAATACATATTTTCGTAAGTAATTAAAGTGTGAAGCGAAAAAAAAAGTGTGAAGCGTGGCATCTCTTAATATGTTTAATCCCTAAACATAAATTATGGCGAGTTTACAAAAAAAAAAAGATATATGGCGAATATCTTTTAGACATTTTACTGACTAAATTTTATTTATTGAATGTTAGTTTACTGGACTATATATGAGAATTAACTTCTCCAAGCAAGATTCACCACATTTCATGGTAAGATTTTCTTCTAATGTGATATGATAATATAGGGCATTTTAATAAAATTGCTTAATGACGACAAGTACAAATTATAATAGAACATTTTCAAATAAAAATAGCAATAATTTCTTTTAACACAAAATCGTAGCAATAACTGTCAGCTAAGTGATACTTGAGATGCTTTCCATATTTTATTTTCAGTTTGGTAAATAAAGATATAACATTATTTATTTATTTTGTTCACTCGAGATAAAAATGGGTAGAAATCAAAATGATTTTATATATGGAGGTTTGAATGGGCAAAGGTATGTGCCAAACTCACAGAAAGAGAATTTTGAGTGACATCATTTGATTCTGTGATCTTCAAAACCAAACTGACTAAGGAGAGTTTCAAAGCTGTACGCACACTTTCGTTGAACTGGTAAGCAATTGTTCTTCATTTAGTTAGGTCTTTTATTTATTTATTTATTTTCATTCATTTTTAACAGTCTGTAAAAGAGGAACCATTTATATGTACTTTTAATCACTATCGTAAATGGTTGTTTCCGTTCAATACATTAAACTACTAATTATGAAAGAAAGATAAATGACAACTAACATACATAGTTGTGCATACACACACGCAGACACACTTATGTGTATTCAAGTGTTTGTCGGAGTATCTCTGATCAGACGAAGCCATATAGATCTGGCCATGTACGTGTCCATATTGCTGCCTTCTTTTTAATTAATTATGTATATGATTATTCAACCACATATATATAAATTGCGCAAATGTACGTAGTTAGCTGCTTAATGATAGATAAAATGCCATATATCTGATCAGTATAAATATTCCAGTGTTGAAAGTATTCAAAGTCATTCGTGAGTTAACTATACAAAACAAGAAAAATGGTTGGTCGTTATATATGACCTGATCTGGCAAAATTTGACTGTCATAAATGTTTTCACTGTTATAAACTGACAATTTTGTCATAATTCATGCAAACATATATACATATAGACACGAGTGGAGTTGAATAGGAAACAGGAAAGAAAATCATCCTTGGATTCTTCATTAATACTATAGAAACCTAACAGCTACTGTTTTATATATTAAAGAACTATGTCGTAAATGTAAGAAAATCAAAAGTGTATAACATTTTAAATATGATTTTTTTATGTTTAGTAACTGATGATCGATGTTGGTGCGTTTAAAAGACAATCCTCTTTTAGGCTCTCAAATTTAGATTCATAGTGTTTCCTTCTTTTTATGTGTCAGATGTAATCTAATTTGCCAAAAAAAAAATTAAAAGATCTAAAGACCTAATGACCTAATTAACTAGATGATAAAGTAAGATGCTAAAAGGTAGAATGTCTTTTACATTTATAAAAACATTAATCATAAAAAACAGTCGTAAATAAAGCTGAGGTGAAACTAAAATAAACAAATGTCTGCATGAATATTAATCTCAATCCATATGACACAAATTTATACAAAACTCATCTATATATATATAAGTAAAAATAAAATTTTACAAAAAAAATTACACATGATTTGGCCCATTGAAGTAGTTTGCATCATCGGAGTTAACAAGAGAGGTTATGTCCTCCCAACTTATTGTGCTTTGATCAGCTGATGTAGTCGCCGTTCCTCCGGCTACTGATGAGTTTCCATAGAATTTTGTGTTCTCGTTGGTCTCAAGATTCGCTATGTTGTTGTTGTTCAAGAACGCATCATGGATTGCTTCTGTCTGAAAATCACAACTCCCAAACCATTGAAGAATCTCTTGTTGTTGATGCTGATGATGATCAGCACTTTTGTTTGGTAATGGAGAGTTCGTGGTGCTACTCATGATAGCAAACTCTCCTTCTCCTCCTCCTCCTCCTGACTCCACGTAGTAATTAGGATCTAACAAAAGCTGAGAGAAGGAGAAATCAAAAGGGTTTGTGATAGAATCTTCAAGATGATGATGATCGGGGTTCTCTTCTTCAGTCTTGACTATGTTCTTGAGTGTGATCAACGGCTTTTGTTCTAAGTTGCAAGACGGTGTCATTTGGTAGTAATTGGAGCTTGTTGGTTCCATCATCACAAGAGGTACTTGATAATGATCAGGAGGAGGAGGAAGCTGATGTAGTAACGGCCATGGTGATGATCCAAACATGTTGTTCATATAAAGATCTGTACTACCATTACTTTGGCCTTGTCCTTGTTGTTGTCGCTTCATCATCACCATCTCTTGCTTCATTCGAGCTTCTTGGAACTCTTTTCTTTGTTTGTTAAGAAGCTTCTTCTTCAGCCTCGTGTTCCAATAGTTCTTGATATCGTTGTCTGTTCTTCCAGGCAATTGTGCAGCAATTATAGACCACCTTTTAAAAAAAAAAATCATTGAACATGTATAAGCATAATGATTCTCTATTTAAGACATGTGTTCATTAATGATATTGACCTATGTATAGTATACCTGCTACCAATAGTAACATAGAGGTTACAAATGATGTTGTCCTCTTCTTCAGAGAAGCCACCATGTTTGATGTTTGGTCTTAAATAGTTGAGCCACCTTAGTCTGCAACTCTTCCCACATCTTTTTAGACCTATATCATGCACATATAATATATATCAACGCACACATATACACACGAAAAATATATTTGCTAATTGCTATAGACTATACGGATTGTATCAAATTAATTGCAATTTTCTCTGGATTTTAAATTAATTATAAGTAACTTAAAAGTGTATATATATACCAATCTTCTGAGGCAAAGCGATCCAGTTGCCTCCTGTGCCACTATTCTCGATGTAATCTTTGAGTTTTGCGTCTTCTTCAGGAGACCAGGGCCCTTTCTTCACGTTAGCCTTGTCACAACACGGTGCTCTTCCCATCTTCTTGATTCGTGATTCTTATTTTTTGTTGTATCTTTCTCGCTATCTCAATTATGCCAATGAAGAGGAGGAAAGAGAGAGGGTGATGGTGTGTGATGGTGCGTGTGTGCAAGGTTAATATATATACATATATGGAAATGCGTGTAATGGAGAAAAGTATATGTGAATGAAGAAAATGAAAAGGAGAGAGGTATATAATAGCTGGAGGAGATAGTCCTTCATGTGATGAAGATGTCAAAAAGTAGGGAATTAAAACATACAAAAATGAATCAAAAGTTGCTTTATGGAATTGGAGAAGTTTATGATATAAATAATGTGATAAAATATTAGTAGAATTTTGAAATGACAGAGAAATGGGGAGACTAATGTTTTTCTCCTTTGTCTTTGCTCCTACATCAGCATCTACAGATTCAATATCTTTATTAATTTAACAAAGAAATATATTTGTGTTTTAAGAATTTTTTTTATAAACCCCATAGATTATAATGTTGGATTATCCCCTCACCCTTTATCTCTTTGTGTTCCCCCCCCCCCCCCAAACAACCAATTTCCCCATATATTCTTGAATTTAGGCTGTGATCGTATAATTTGAGAATACAATATTACTTTGCATTATGGATGATCTTTTTTTTTTGAGCAATGGATGATCTATTTTTAAAAATTATTTAATGAATTTGAAAGTTCTAAGATGAAAGAAGAAGATGAATATACATGAACTATAATTTTTAATATGATTGTATGAGTTGCATTTAATTCTAAATCTATAATCACTTTTGAGTTTTGTCTAAAAATAGATATATTTTACTCGGAGATGTATCATATATGCTACTACAGCCTTACATTGAAACTAATTGTTGTCTTATCACTGTTTACTATTTGCAGTCGGTTAATTTCTTTTTAAATCCCGCCAATAATTTTGTTTACTTCTTGTAAATGTTGTTTTGGTAAAATACTTCGAGTAAATGTCTACGCATAGATATGATTATTGTATGATATTACACTCTATAGGTTTTCCTCATGATTCATGTCGTAGCTAGAATTGTCGAATTTTAATATTGTGTTCTTTGCTAACTCAAATTGAAAGTTTATGAATAAATGTCTGACGCATTTTTAATATTGTTTTGATCTTTGATAATATAATATATGATCCGCGGTTAGAAGTATGATTAACTTATCTCAACTAGTAAATGTCATACGAAATTTCAAATACTTTTCGTTCAATTATAATGTAGTCAAAATAAATTACTGTATGGATATACATATGTGTGTATATATGCATAATTACTACATAAAATTTCACGAAAACATGAAACCCCACTTGCATGGCAACTTTTATTTCATGCATGTGACAAGACTTGGTCATCAATAATAATAAGTAATTCAATATTTTCACAACTTTGAACCAGTACGTTATTAAGTAGACTTATATGTACTACCCGTATATATAGTCAATATATTGTCTAGTAAATGATTTTGTTGTCTGTTACATACGAGTGTATTATATGTTGTCGAGATAGAGACAAATACTTCGAATGTTTGGTGATGGAAATGTGTGAATTACTAAGAAAAATGATAACTCATTTATATATACACAACACTCCTGTTGAACAATATCTCACTGGTCAATATCAATATATATATATATATATATATATATATATCAGTTAAATAAGAACACGAGAAGACTGGTATTTTTTGTATCATCTAATGAAGTTTGATAATGGATAGACCACCGTCGTTGTTAATTTTTTTTTTTTGGTGTAAAAGTCGTTGTTAATTATGTCAATCAATAAAAATCTTTTTTTAAGCAGACCATTTTTTTAACATACAACATTTTTAGATCAAAGATCAAAGCAAAGCATGAATAATTAAATGAAAGAGTAGCAATAGCATATATTATTCGCTAATTAAAATAACCGTTCCTAGATACAAACAAATAGACGTATCCGCAGTATATCGAAACATGGTCAAGACAAATTTTCAAATCCATACTGTCCAAAAACATCACCAATCATGGAATCACATTTGGTGGATGGTGAATCACTTGCTATTCAATATATATCACCCTGTTGAAAATGATAGGAGTTAATGATATGTACCAAAAGAGATGAAATGAAAGGTAGATATATCGAATTTTGTAAGAGTGAATTCTGTTATGGTTGGTGAACAACATTTTGCCAACCCTTGGAGAAAATTTACCACTAACTGTTTTACGGATAACAATAGTTTACTGGGTCAGGTTTTGATATATATAGTCTATTAATCTCGTAAACCATTTTTGCTTTTGTTGTTGTTAATATAAAACAATAAGATGACAAAAATGAATTGATAGATGTATGTGTTAATTGTCGAATCACCATAGCTTAGTGTAGCTTAGTGATTAAGGTTTAAAGACTTCTACACCATATATGGTATTCGAATCCTACACTATGCAGTTTCTACATTAAGAGAATTTTAATTCTCAAAAAATGTGAATGGCGAATTATACAGATTATTGAAAAAAAGATTTACAAGAGATCTTCAGTATAGTGCAAGGACGGTAATTGATCTCATAGGACGATGCAGTCAAACGTGAATTCATATAAGACAGGTAAAATTGTTGGTTTAATATCGTCTATTTAATTGTAATACATAATTAACTAGTGTTAAAAAAATGAATGTGTTAATTCATTAAAAAGGTCAGCCACTTACTAATCATGCATTATTAATATTGAACCTTTGGACGCCTGTCCCATGGACCCGAAATCAAAATTTAATCAAAGATTTGATAGGGATGTTATCAATCTTAACTATTCTAATTTTAATAACAAATTCACTAGTTGCATTTATTTTCCACGGCAGCTAAGACTATGGAACAAGAAAACCCAATAAGTGGCGTCACGATCCTTGGAACTTATTGTATAAACGTATATGGTTAAGATTATATTTTTTTCTCGTAATCGTTCATGTAAAATAAATATTAGTAGTCAATTTGGGTGTATTGTTTATTAATTTAGTTTCTTGCAAAACAAGTGAAATACGATGGAATATATACTTCTTTAACATCGTGTCTATTAATAATATGCAACTCACAAACGAATTATAGCGTTTTGTTGTTTTATAAATTGGTTATTTTAAGTTAATATGAGCCAAAAGCTTCTAGAGGAAACACAAAAAGTTGACTTGACTTGTGATGGTTAATAAAGGGTTAAAAGTCAAAGCACTTGGAAAAATGTAAAGTCTTCAAATTATTGAGGTATTATTATTCACTGTGTTTATATGCTTTTGTGGAATAAAATATGTATCGTCATGCATAAAATATCTTTATATATGGGAAAGTTATGTAGAGTTTGAACTTTGAAGCCAAGGGTAATAAAACGAAATAATCAGTGTATTCAGATTTCAACAACACTAGTAGGAAACACGAATTGGTCTTCCAGCGTAGGCCATCCCTTCTTTTTTTCAATTTCCCCATAAAAAGTAATAAACCCCTTAAAATATTTTATCATTCAGCTTTTTATAATGTCATTGCCAATTTACCATGCATATGTATGGCATTTACGCTAACACATCCTTTTTTGCTCAATACAGCCTAGGATTCTTTTTTCCGTTTGTAGTGTCTTAACTTTCAATAACAACCAAAATTTTGTATTACAAATTGTTAAATATTGAATAATGTTGTCTGCAATTACTTAGAAGTTAGGAAATGCTGAATTAGCAGAGCTTTTCATCGTACTAGAAATGATTTGTAACTGTATTTTATTTTGTAAAATTATATTCATATAGTTCTTTTTTCAGACTAGCATTCAAGGATCTGTGAAATCCATGCAGGATCATGTCATCTACATACAAGATTTGACTAGAATTTAATGATCCATCAAACAAACAACTTTATAAGGAGAAAAACTATTGTCAAACAAAAAGAGGTAAAGGTAAAGAAGAGGAAGGTCACTGTAATATAAATAAGATCTCAAGGCATCTTTCTCTCTTCTATGATTTTATCTTCTCTTTTCATAATGGTACTTTTACAGGATCCATTTACTTTTTGGAAGTATTCTAAATTAAAGATGAAAGAAAAGAAGGTGAGTCCTACTTCTATGATATGACTCTCGTGACATGTATGCACTCTTTTTTTTGTTACACTAATCTAAAAAGTAATTAAATACTCCCATATAACATGTTATTATAACGTAATCATGAGATAATCATGACATCCTTTTGCATGAAGTTCTACGTCTCCTCCTTGTATCTAGAGGCTTAAATGAGTTTGATAAGCTCTTCCTCAAGTATATACCATCAAAGAAAATATTCTCTAAATAAATTCAGAAAATGGTGAGAAACACATTACTTGGAGAGTATTTCAGAAATTAGTAATTTTAAGGGTTTTGAACCAGGATAGGAGGGAAATGCGTCGGTCCAAAGACAAAGATAGTGGGTTTTAGATTATTTTAGCTTAACTAAACAATGATTAGTATATAATTAAAATAAATAAATACACCTCAAGTTGTTTAGTAGAATTAAGCTGTCACTCATTAAGCGGGGAAACCCACAAATCAATGCCGATTTCTTCACCCATTTCACACGCAATCTGTTTTCCGCCATAGCTTTCTATAGCACATACCATTAGACAAAACAATTGCACAAAGTAAGACCATGTTTATCAATGTTGCTTAGGGGTTTTTTAAGCTAATTTGTTGCTTAAAAATAAAGATTAAATGGATAATAAAGAAGGGGCGTGACTTAATTAAGCCACGGAAGGGGCGTTGGTTAAGTGCCACGCGTCAAGATTGTAGAGGAGAGAGGAGCGGTGTGGGGGAAGGTTTCGACAAAACCTTTCATTTTCTCCTATCTCTTCCGTTTCCGATTCTCTCTCTTTTCTTCTGCGATTCGAAAGGCGATTCTCCTTTGTCGACGACGTGTGTACTCGCCGGTGGCTGAACTCGACGGTGGCTGTACTCAACGGTGCCTGTAGTCGAGGTGGGTGATGTCGAAGCGGAGTCGGACGAACTCGAAGTGCGATTCGAAAGGCGATTCTCTATCTTCTGTTCTTTGAGACGAAGAACAACGGTGAC